CGTGCAGCAAATAAATAAATAACTAACATCTGCACTGACAGACTTGAAGGCTGATGTGCAAGAGCTGCTCTCATAATCTGAGATGTGGATGGGATAAGATGTAAAGAATATGTCATATTCACAGCAGAGCCCAGATACAACAGCTTCTATATTTAGAGAGCAATGGATAAGTTGTTTAAACCAGTCCATGTTATGCTCACCACATGGTAGGAGTTGCTAAAGAATGAACTTATTTTATGTCAGATAAATCATGGAGTAATACAAGTCGTAAAGACATGAATACTTATCTCTACTGCCAAAGCCAAAGCTAGCAGTTAGCACTTAGCATCACTCAACAAGAAAGTAAGTGTGTTACAGTATAGTCATTTCGTGACTATAACACGAAATGCCGTGAGAGTGGGTTGTGCTGTGACAGGTGTCCAACTAACTAAGAATTACTGACTAGAGCTGACGTCTTAATGATATACTGTATATATATATATATCTTGACAGAGTTTACAGAGATACAGTGATAGTTACTTTCCCATCAGAGTCTGTCTTATTCTGTTGCTCATTCAGTGGGGTTTGTCTGGGAAAAAGGTGTTTGGAAATATCTTTAAAAGATAAAGTTAAGCAATAAGACTTACTGACAAGCCACTGTCTCTAGCTGTGTGTGTGTGTGTGTGTGTGTGTGTGTGTGTGTGTGTGTGTTTGCAAATCCATATGGTCCATGTGGTTAATGTTATAAAACAGTTTTTTAAATGTGGCTTTTAACAGTAGCAGAACAATGCCGCAAATGGGGGCTGTTCATGAGAGCCCTGCACCAGTTACAAATGACTAGCAAAGCATACATTGCTATGATTTCAATAGATTAATAGGTAATTGGTACAATTTAAAAACATGAATATGCAAAACGCAAAACAAATTGCATGTCTGTAGGTGCAGGCTTCACACTGACCTTTTTCTTTTTCCAACTGAGCAACATTTTAAATATTGTTCAAAGCTAAAGAAGCCTCGTTCTTAATGTTTCTAGATCCTTGATTTTGATGGCTAATGCTACATTCCAAACAACTTGCAAGAAAGCAAAAGAATGCCATTCAATGTCAAAGTTCTTACTTGTCATCTATGGGCAAATACATCCGTCCCCGACTTCATGACAAAGCAGTTGTCAGACATCATACACCAGAAAGAAAGAAAGCAAACGTTGGAAATGATAAACCATCAACTAAAAGGCAATTGAAAGTGAATTTCTCTGTACATTTACTAAAGTAATAAACACTGCCAACATTATTTGGTATATGGTTAAGGTAAAAAGATCATCTTCACAAAAGTTATACGGGAAAAACGTTAAAATGACAAATAAAACTTGTGGAGGCTGAGATGCTGGGAGTTCAATTGAGTTTACACTTGTCAAAGACTGCTCGGTTTGTCACAGTTGGGTGTGGTATTTTAGATTCTGACCTCCAAGTTGTCTAGAATGCAGCATTAGCTCAGTTGCCCTAGTACTGTCCTCCTTGATGTTAGCTTTGATTAGACCCTTTCTTTTGCCTCAAAGTTGTTCATCCAGCAAAGTTGTATGAACATGCCATAGAGTTTTGTCAGCTTTAACAGTGTATCTGTGAGCTGAGAGATGTGTTATCAAAAAGTCCCTCAGAAATAAGGGACAAGGCATCAGAGAAAAGGCTATATCCCAATGTAGCAATGTTTTTTTTTTGCATTGCATCACATAGAGCAGAGCACATCCAGCTAAAAATAATTCTCCCTCATCTTTGGACCTTTTTCATGTTTTCTAAGGGAGGAAAGGAAGGAAAGAAGAGAGCTGGGGGCATGTGAGAAGCACGGAGCAACACAGAAACACAGCAACTTTAAATAAAACCACACAGATCACAAGAGCCCCATCGGAAACACTTGCTCACAAACTCGCAGACAAGAGAGAACCATCCACAAACGTATCCAAGTTTTATTTTAGCAATATTTCGCCTGGGCAAGATCAGAGAAAGTCTGTAATTACCGAAGAAAAAGGCAGACTGGAGGGGAAGTAAAACATTCAACATGTTCAACAGTCTCTAAATACTCAGTGCCAGACAAACAGTGTGTCAAAATTCTCAAAGTTCAAAGCCAAATTGAAGCTCATACTTACAGCATGTGTTTTCTCTGGCCAAAAGAACAGCATGTTTCGTTGATCGCGCGAAACAAAACACGATTCAACTTCTCAGGATTCTTTTCCCATGCTTGACTAACCCTACGGGTACAAGCCCATGCATGTTGAGAAGTTGCTCAGGCAGGCCTAGAGTTTACAGAAATGTCAACTTTATCTCATTACTTTTTCACCTCAAACGCCCTCCACCGTTAAAAACAAGTTTTACCTCTTCCTTCAATTGCTTTACGTGGTTGGAAGTCTTTCTTTTTTTGAACCAACGACCAAACAAACCTTGTGAAAATTAAAAAACAAAGCAAGACTTTAAACAAATCATTTGTTTCCAATGCAAAAACAGTAGGAGCAAGGAAGGCAAGGCTGTGTCTTACCCTGCCCTGATAATACAGCCTGTAGATTTGTAAGCATAGCATCAGGATTTGGACTACTAAAGATAATCATGTACTTTGATGTGTGAGAAGTGTGCACATCTGACAAAGAGATGTCTAAAACACTGTTACATTTAGTATAGGAAACATTTATTTCAATGAATGTTCCACAGGTTATCAATCCATGAATAGGCTAACTAGTAAAACTACAGAGCTAGTTGCTAGCTAAAAAACAAGGATCAAATTATCCTAAAAGAGCATCTATAAAATAAATAACTATAACAACAAGAGCATTTGGAAGTGGACCTTTTCCACTGCTGTAACTTCCCTTTATTATTCAGGAATATAACAATGTTGTCAGTGTATTTCTACCAACCCTGTCTCCTAAAAATTAAGTTCCCACAGAACTAAACTGCATTCTCAATTACGTTTAGCAAGAAACTTATTTTCTCCCACGTTACGTTCGTTATGAACGTATCTCAAATACGTTTATTTTCTATTATCTTCTAGAAACATATTTTCTCCCACGTTACATTTCTTATGAACGTATCTTAAATACGTTTATTTTCTACATATCTTTGACATTTATTGTCTTGCTTATAATAATGATAATAGTCATTTATAAATATCATTTTAGAGCACACATTTGAAATCAGTAGGCGAGGCTGTAATTTTGCCAGCTGTTACTCTCATGAGCGAGGCAGAAAATAATAGTTTTTAACATGCCAAAAAGCTGCTGTGTTGTTTATTGCACCTCTAACATTAAACCAAATCCAGTTACGTGTTTCTGTACTTCCTCTAAGAAGAAAGAACAGTAACAGAAGATTTCTGTGACGCCAGATGTGGTGTTGTTAATGCGATATGATATCCGAAAAACATTTCAGTTTAGGATGGCCGAAGACACTACTACACTACCCATAATCCCCAGCTATCGTTTGGGACTACAGTCCCGTTGACAAACCCCGTGATTAATCTTCAAGCTCTGGGATTGGATGTTGGAGTGGCAGTGCGCCAAGGTTACGCCGAGCGTCAAGCTCTTTGAAATGGAACGAAACCACAGCAGACTATTCAAAACTGGACTCGAACGCCCCCCCAGAACTACACATGCTGGCTATTGTGTTTCGCAACATGTTAGGCTTGTTTGAGATGCGTTGCGGCTCGCCTCGAAAGTAGACGAGAGTAGCCGATCGCAGCCGGGGGAGGTCTCAAAAAGCTCGCCTGAAGTCGGACAGCTCGGAGTCGGCTTCGTCTTCTTTTTCTTCTTCTCTTGGTTTTTTGGCGGATTGCAAACAACTTTAAGGTGCATACCGCCACCTCCGGAGTCGGCTTGACTCGGTTTGCATTTATAAAGAATGCACACATGTGTTTAATCGTTAATGTCAGATATGTACTAAGTAAATACATTTGTTCCTGCTCAAGATTAGATTCAACTTTATTGTTATTGCACATATTACAGGTACTGAGACAACGAAATGCAGTTTAGCTTCTAACCAGGTGCAACAAGCAGTGAAGTGAAAAGTAATGTACACAATAGACAGAATAAAATATAGAATGAATTGAATGATGAATAAACAGTGAGGGCTATGAATACACTAGATATATACAGCAGCCTGTGAGCAGTATGAACAGTGTGTATGAATATGCTAAGATATATAAAGTATGAAAACGGTAAGCAGTGCAAGTATAGTATAAAATATATAGATATTAATTTCATGATGATAAATATTGTGGAACAATGATGAGAAATGTGAATGGATGTGGCGACGTAAAACTGATACAAAACAACAACAAACTTTTGCCGAGCCAATTGGAGAGTTTCATCACCAGCACGTGGAAAAAACCACCAATGAGCGCTCAGCTCGAGATACCAGCGAGTCGTTTCCCATCAAGCATTTCGCTTCCGCAGCCCGTGGAGAGGAACTGCGCCGCCTCGCCGCGCCTCGCTCTCAAGGCTGCGGGCGTCTTTGTCCCGCGAGATTTCAACGTCTCATGTAGGCGAGCCTCCAGAGCAAGTCGGACAAAATGACTAACCATCATGCAACGCACGAGCAAGACGTTGATCGCAACTGCGCAGGTCTCGCTTGTCTCAAACAAGCCTGTTCTCTATGGCAAGTCTCTACTGGGAATAGACCTATCGCTAAGCCACGCCCCCTTTGAAAACTCGGACAAACAAAGCCGACCGTGAATGACTCTTGACAATGGCCGCGGGGGGAGTTCAAGTTAAAATAACATTAAAATAGAAGCAAGAGCTAATAAAAGCAACAGCAGATGAAAGTTAACAGTTAAAAGCAAGAGTAAAAAGGTAGCCATGTATTTCTTTATATAAAATATCTAATCTTGTTGCCTGTCGTGTGTAGTGGTGACTGTTGTGTAACCATTGAAATGATAATATGATGTTGAATGTTAGCAGTGGTGGTCACTACATTAAATCTATAACTATAACTGTCCTTGTTGGTCATCATTTTCACTGTTATGCACCTGGCTGACTGTAGCGTTACCTTTTTTTGGGTGAGGGTCTGTGTCTTTTCGGAGCAGCACACACGAGAGCCCGGATGGGATCTGATATTCCAGAGTTGGCTTCCCATCTCTGAAGTGCTTTGAGGTGAAAAGACAGTTAGCAAAAGTTAGCTAAAAACACCAGCTAACTAGCTAGGACGAAAAGTCAGACAGCAAACGTTGATGTTGATAACACTGTAGCTAGTTAGCTGGCTAACAAGTTGGCAGCTAACGTTAGCTAGCTGGGCTGGATATACGCTAGCTAGTTGGCAGTCAAAGTCAATCGTTAGCAAACTAATAGTTTGGTCTACGTTTCTAATACATACCGTCAAATATGATGTCTTTATGAATTGACCTTACCTTTGAGCAAACATAAGTGTCCTTGATAATTGTCTTCACATTCAGTTGTGTATGTGGTTGACGACACAGCATAATCCACCGCTTGCATTTGTCGAGTTTTCTTTTGGGCTTCGGAAAAGGTACGAAATATACTCCTCCATCCAGTCTTTCAGGGTACCTGGTGTCCGAAATTACAGGTACCCCACGCACAGCGTTTCACCATCAGATATTAGCTAGATAATAAACATAGAAACTGAACTCTTCACAGTGGTTTCGATCACAGACCTCTGGTTTTGGTTTGATGCGCCCCACAAACGGCTTTTCTGGTGATGTCCGAGTTTTCTGTCAGGAGGGATTTTCGCTGTGATATGATTGGACAAATTCTATTTGGGGCGTGGTTTAGCGATAGGTCTATTGTAGTTTTAAAAGACGTTTTCGTTTTTCCAAAATTTAGAAGTTGACAGTATTAAACTGTGTACAGCCCTGGAGGTTTAGGCGATAGGAAACACATTGGTGTGTACACATTTAAAACATGTAATTACTACATGGGTGAAAATCGCTTGTATCCATAATGGGCAGCATTAATATATATTCTACTCCACTACAATTCAGAGGTTAACCTGGTATTTTTACTCCACTACATTTACTTTAGTAACTCTGCAGATTCTGATTAATGATGTGAAATATAAACAACCCTTAAAGCAGACTTTAGTTACACCTGAGTCAAATTCAGGGAAAGGTGATTGTCAAGTGCCAACAATCAGGCGAGATATTTGATCGTTGGTGCTTGAGAAGACTAAACATTTATCTGCAGATCTCTATAAAGTATATTAACTACTCGTTATTCTCTACTAATAGTTAATTAAAAACTGTATATAATTGCTATTTTGCACATCCCTTTCAAGATTTCAAGATTTTCTAAGGTTTATTGACATATCATATACACAACTACGGTGTAGTTATGCAATGAATGAAAAACTTGGGTCACAGGTTCAACAGTGCATTACAAGACATCTATCAATATGTGTGTACCTCCACCATTAAACTGTCAAATTCTGCACATTTATTATACTATCTACATACATAAGAGTATAATTAATGCGTATAATATCAATTAAAATAAGTGCTTCAACATAGTTAACATTGCAGGAAAGCAATACATTAGACGTTAAGTACTTTGTCAGGCTTAATATTTATCTGTAGATAGATACCCCCAAAGCTTTTTTCTTATTTAAAAGAAGACCTTAACCTAAAGTATTCTTTAATGTGTTAATAAAGGTTAATTAGTTTGTCTGTTTTGCACATCCTCCTATTAATATCTTTGTACATCCGGCACTAAACTGTTTTATTGTAGAGATCACTTACAGTATCTTCTTGATTTTTTATATTCTATATTTCTATCATTGACCTTCTACTTTCCCCCTATGAAAGTATGTACTCTTAATGTTTTTTTCATCAAATAACATTATTCAACAAAAATAACATTATTCAACAAAAATAATTCAATAACGTGCTTTAACCACTAGGCGGTGCACACAAGGTACACACAGCATACTAATAATAACTTTGTATTATTAGTGTAGGACACTTACGTATGTATAACATCTGAAGACGTGTAGTTTTATTTATGTTTTTACATAATTTTACAGGATATTGCTATACTATTTCTCATGTTTTACTTCTAACATTAATATCTGATTTGTAAAACATCACAGACAGAAAGCCATATCCGTCATGCAATGGTAAGCTATTGAAATTGTGATTCCATAGATGTGTCTCCCATCACCCAAAACCCCTGACTATTCTCTCAACTCAGTATTTACATTCTTATATTCAAAGAAAATCAGTAATAACTTTAAAAACTACAAGTCCTTTTCTATCAGCTGTGCACCGTTATGGTGTAAATGTAACCTATCTACCAATTGGATCAAATATAAAAGTCAGCCGAATTAGTATTGATACTGCAAGGAGACGTATTTTGTGAAAAGAAATGCAAGGTGTTGTTTAATTGTTGATATATTTATGATCCACGTCACATATTCAGTTTTGGCGGCAGTTCTCCTGTTTGTCCAGAAGTCTTCTCATCAGGGCTCTATAAATAGAGAACTACAGCAGATGTGTAGTATTTAATGCAGCCGAACTGTGTATTACAAAGCCGTTATGTGATGACTTCCAAAGAGAAAAGCAAGAACACTCGGAATAAAGTATTATTATTTTTTTTATTTTTTTCCGGATATCATATCGCATTAACATCATATACCAACATGCATTGCGGCTAAACATCCAATCAACGAGCTTCAAGCTGAGGATCTTGGGTAATCTGTTCAGTGGGTTTGCGTGTATCCTCAAAATGTCCCTTATAGGCCTACGTCTGTTTCGGGTGACTTTATTTACGGCTAAAAAGCATGCTAAGAAGCCCAAGATTATAGAATCAAACGAATAAATAAAAACAAGGATAATTGTGTGTTATTGTTGAGTAAATAAGGAAAAAAAGATTTTCAAAAATACAGATTTCAGTATTTTGAGGCTCTAAGCCCCATTTATTTTCCTCACAGACAGGAAAAAAGTCAGACACTATACGATTTAAAATAAAAACATAAAACACTGGCATGTAATTTACGTTAGAATAAATAGAATGGTTTTGAATAATAGATGAGAGTAAAATCTACGTCACTTTACAGCCCCGCCCAGTTTTGGGGAAACCAACGCTGTCATTTGAACGGCGATCAAGCCTGAAGCCACAGAGATCTTCTGTTACTGTCCTTTCTTCTTAGAGGAAGTACAGAAATACATAACTCTGGATTTGTTTTAATGTTTGAGGTGCAATAAACGACACAGCAGCTTTTTGGCATGTTAAAAACTATTATTTTCTGCCTCGCTCATGAGAGTAACAGCTGGCGAAATTACAGCCTCGCCTACTGATTTCAAATGTGTGCTCTAAAATGATATTTATAAATGACTTATCATTATTATAAGCAAGACAATAAATGGCAAAGATATGTAGAAAATAAACGTATTTAATAGGGATGCACGATATTGTTTTTTTGAAACCGATACCGATAACTTCCTGCTTCTCAAGACCGATACCGATAACCGATAATAAATTTTTTTTTACGCCACTAATTATTTTAACGCGATTAACGCATGTGTATTTTTTTTCCTTGGCCGGCCCGTAGTTTCAGAGTTTAAAATACCATCTACAAGCTGATGCTGACAGCCCCGCTCCTGCCGCCCGCTTGTGGCAGACCACACTTCCACGCTCACCGGCAGGCACCGACCATAGACTGTATATATACAGGCACCGACTGGCCATCTGGAGGACCGGGAGGGTGTGTGTATGTGTGGCCCGAGCGAGCGAGAGACCTTACGTGCTTTTTGTTGTTAGCATCTGGTGCTAGCTAGCTGTGCTAACAGATATAAGGAGATGTTTAAATGAAAACAGAGGAGCGACATTTCGCCACAACTGCGCCGAGCACTTGACTTTATGCAGGAAGCCAGACAGTGGGACATTGTATGAAAAGTCAGCACACTCAGCACGGATAGTGCGCAACATGATTGCAGCGTCCAGGCAGCTCCGGTTCGAGCATATGCCTTGAGTTGCACATAGCTCCAATGCCCATACCACCGACGACATGTTTGTTTACTGTCCTGGCTTCACGGCCGCACACCATTTACGTCACAGCCAGGCATGAGTTAGGGAGCGCTGGATTTTTGAAGAAATCCCCTCTTCCTAAACCACTAATACCACAGTACTGGCAAAACGGGAGGAGCCCAGTGAAAAACAAGCGCCCCTCATCCCAATCCACCCACACCGCAGTATTTTTTCTTTTTTTTTACCCAAAAAATATATTGTATATTATCGGGGTTATTAATACTGGTATCGGGTTTATCGGGATGACGTCATAATTCCTAATATCGGACCGATAATTATCGGGCCGATAATTATCGTGCATCCCTAGTATTTAAGATACGTATTTAAGATACGTTCATAAGAAACGTAACGTGGGAGAAAATATGCTTCTAGAAGATATGTAGAAAATTAACGTATTTGAGATACGTTCATAACAAACGTAACGTAGGAGAAAATACGTTTCTAGCTAAACGTAATTGAGAATGCAGTTTAGTTCTGTGGGAACGTCATTTTTAGGAGACAGGGTTGATTTCTACTTGTAAGTTAGACCTCTAAATCTATCACACATGCAGTTCTTTACAGGTATCGCAGGATTCTTCAGCATTTCATGGTTGCACAACTCACCTCTGGTTATGGCAGTAGATTTCCTTAACATTTTATTGGAAACATTTCACTATAGGAATCCAGACATGGGGACTGGAATGAGGAGACTCTTTGACCCAGATCACACAAAACCCCCATGACAATCATACTCTCCGGAGACAATTGGTGGCAGGAAGAAGCAGATGCTCAACTATCAGGCAGAGGTGGGATGCAATATCTTCATCTAACATAGAGGGAAGGGGAGAGGGATGGGGCTATGAAAATGACTGATGGGAGCACAAATGGTAGAGCTGTGATTGGGAGGGTGGGGGAGGGAGAAGAGGGACAACGCTGACAGCTGAGCGGGCCTACCTGTCCGCCTATCTCTCGTCTTCCGTCTTGATTTGCAAGTCCTCGACGGGACACTTTCCCCAGGCCGGCCTGGAAAACAAGAACAGGTGTCATAAAACTCTGCTGTGACTGGGATTTGCATCTGTAATGACCCCACTGGAAATGCAGAGTATGATGTTCGCAACAAAAACCTGTCAAACACGCTCTCAGAGGGGTATTCATCACTGACTCAGCTGCGTCCTGTCTCATTTCCTATCACTTAGCGATGATGGAAAACAGTTTTTTTGTCTTCTAACCACAACAGCGAGTTGTTCATCTTCGCATTTTCCTGAATGTCCTCAACTTTGTGTTAATTTCTGCTGTCAGAGTCAGATGTACATGTTAAATGACTTTGAATTTGCATTGTTGGAAAATATTTCACAACGGCTGGCTGTGAGAGGTTTTAGAAATTCAAACACATCCAGACTGAGTGACTCACACATTTGTGTTTCCCTGATACCATCACATATGTTTCATATTCATG